CGACTCACGGACACCCTGGCTTTCGCCGTCCCTCGTACGCTTCCCGTGTGGTCCAAGTGGCCAGTGGACCTCACATCCTGAGGAAGGTATACGGGTGAAATAGGGACGGGATTGACTGAGTAGACCTCAGTAGCGGAGGAGTTTTCACTGCCCAGGAGTGCGCGCTGGGACCCTGAGAGCCCAGCGCGCGCTCGCCTATACCCCCCACACAAAATATATGCATATATATGCAAAGATAAAGATTGTTTTAAGAAATATAGAAGTATATTTTATATGAAATGTTTGGGACCAGAAAAATACTTTTTTTCATATTTTAGGGGAAAAAATTAAGAAAAATTTTGAATTTCAAATTTTGGAGTTAGGGATGTGCAACCTGCTTATCCCACTCAGCATTTTTTCCAACTTTCTAAACCATTTCTCAAACTGCCCATGAAATCTCATCCTGAATTAAATGTCTGAAACAGAACTCCATTATCTGTTCTAAGCCTACATCTTTCCATACTGTATTTCATGTCCTAAGAAATAACTCCATGATTCACCTAATTGTTGAAGCCTAAAACATGTGAGACAGATCCTTGTGTCTGTCATCCATTTCACATACCTTCACCTCCCTGGATTCCAAATGATTAGCAAATCTAAACCAGTCCTTCCTCCTAAAGATGCCTTCAATCTGTTTCTGCCCATCAGTCTTGCAACTCTTAATTCTTCTGACTGGCAACATGTTCTTCCTACTGCTGCTGTGGCCCCCTAAGTAGCATTTCTTCCCTCATTCTTTATTCCAGCTGTCTTCATACTGCAGTCATTATAAAAGCAAATTTGAAGAAATCAGGCATGGTGGCATACACTAGTACTTGGGAAGTTGACATAGGGCAGTACTCATGAGTTAGAGGGTAGCCTGGGCTATATAGTGAGTACTAGAGCAGCAGGAGCTACATAAGCAAGACACTGTCTCAAAAGGGAAAAAAAGGCAAAATGATCTCTTGTTATTGCTTATAATTGACCATTGCTTTCAGTTCCTTAACAAGGATTACAAAGTGTTGCTTTCTGTTTCACCAGCTTTATCTCCTAACCTCTCTGCTTCTTATTCTGTAGCCTAAACATTATAGATTGTAAGTGTTCCGGATGCCTTATATATCTGACTTCTCAATTTTTACATGTCCTTTGTCCTTAATAAGATGTCCTTTCCTCTCAGCCCTCCCATCATACTGTCACTTGCTCTTTGTACATATTATACTTGGCTCCTCTGACCTCCATCCAAAAATCCAAGTTAGGTTGCTTCCTTTTTGCTCCAGTTGCATCATGTGCTGCTCCTCTCAGTGGTGTTTACCATGTACTGCATGCAAGTAGCTTTTGAGCAGTGTTTTCCATCTAGATGGAGTGGATGGATCATCTATACACCATTACGTGTATCCCCATGGCCTGGCACATAATACATGCTCATTAATTTAAAATTAGGTATTTCTAATGAAGCACATAGAGCTGGAATGTAGGACAGTGGAGTGCTTACCTAGAATGTGCAAGACTCTGGGTTCAGTCTTTAGCATTGCAAAAACAAAAAGAGCTTGGGCCAATGCCCACCCTTGCCCATGTAATGACTAATAGAAGACAGGGCCACCTGTAAGTGGGATGGTGAGGAGATGAGGAGATGCAGGGGTGGAGAAGTTCCCAGAATTCTGTAGTGGGTCCAATGGAGTACATAAAAATCACTTCAGTAAGCCAAGCATGGTGGCTCATGCCTGTAATCTTAGTACTTGGCAGACTGAGCTGAGTTCCAAAGCAACTTGGGCTACAGAGTGAGGCCCTGTCTATAAATAAATAATAAATAAATCAATAAGTCAAGTCACTGAAGCAAAATATATAGAAAAAAAAGTCCTAGAAAGTTTATTTCAAATGAAATATTTCAAAATTAAAAGAATGTTAACTTTTTTTTTTTTTTTTTTGTCTTTTTGAGACAGGGTCTCCGTGTAGCCCCAGCTGTCCTGGAACTTTCTATGTAGACAGGCTGGCCTCGAACTCACAAAGATCCACCTGCCTCTGCCTCCCAAGTGCTGGGATTAAAGGCGTGTGCCACCATGCCCAGCAACTTTTTTTATTATGTAAATTTTAAAAACTCAAATTATTTGCAAATGAATTGCTAAGACTGACAGTGAATGTTTTTTGGTTTTTTTTTTTTTCTTTGATTGATTTATTTACTTTTAAATGGCTTTTGGTTACTCTAACATTCCCTCCCTCTGAAGAGGTAACCCTAAAATTTTATAAGGATTAGATACAAGCTCCTAAATACTTTTGACATTTTTGGCCTTTGGAACAGAGTGTGTTGCTAACAGGCCCAAGGACATTTTGACTTTTAGCCAAGAAACTGGCTACTTTTGGGGGCATCTTTTTCACCCTAACTGCCTAGCCAATTCCTACATCCTATTCTTATCACACCATCCTCTGACAAGGTTACCCAACTTGCTGATAGGGAATAGGGATGCAGACCACTCTAGCTTCTTCCGTGCTGAACAGGGATGCAGGGTAAGGCAATTGGAGTACCCTTTCAGTGAATCTATCTAAAAGACTCCCAAATTGCATAACTCTTATCTCTAAGGGGAAAAGAAAGTTCTTGAATCCCTAATAGGAGATGTAAAGGCAAGAGTAATTAGCATGACAAGTTCTAGACAGGGAACTAGAAAAAAGACAGAGCAGGGCAATTTTCAATATGAGAGTCCATTGGAATTTCTTGACAAGGGCTTCCAAAAGCATCCCTCTATTGGGTTCCTCCTCATTTTTCTTTTGTCTTCCAAGGCTGGACTCTAGAGTGATGGATTCAGGATTTGCTTTTAGGTATTTTGATAGCTGTTGGAGTGGTTAAATCAGTGTCAGTTCCCTCTCAAAGGCTTCTAGATAGGGAGAGAAAACACATTTATCCATCATTTTAGAACAATAGCTGATTGTCTCCCTTTGCTACAGGTGGGCACTACAGTATTAGAGACCAAGATTTGAAGTCTTACATCTGAGCCACACTTTCTGATTAGAAACAAAACAATGAAAAATAATTGTCTAAATAACTTTTTATATGGACTTAAGCCTAATGTCTGACCCTTGAACTCTTAAAGAAATATACTG